AACAATAATTTCACAGAAGAAATGTGGTCAATAAATATGAAAAGATGCTCAATCTTACTAGCAACTGGGAAAATGCAAATTAAAAGTACAGCTAGAAACTATTTCATGTGCAATAATGGGCATAATTTTTTAAGTCTGACAATATTAAGTGTTGAAAAAAAAAGGAAAATGAAAACTGCTCTGGCTGGTGTGGCTGAGTGGATTGGGTGCCAGCCTGCAAACCAAAGGGTCACTGGTTCAATTACCAGTCAGAGCACATGCCTAGGTTGTGGGCCAGGTCCCCAGTGGGGAGTGCACGAGAGGCAACCACACATTGAAATTTCTCTCCGTTTCTTTCTCCCTCCCTTCCTCTCTAGAAACAAATAAAATCTTACAAAAAAAAAAAGAAAAATGAAAACTATATTACTTTTGGGAGTGCATTTTAATATAACTACTTTGTAAAACACTATGGCGTTACCTAATAAAGCTAAGGATGTACAGGTCTCTACAAACCAATAATTCTACTCTTAGGAACTCTACAGGAGACATGCACAAGAATGTTCATGGCTGCATTGTTTATAATAGCCAAAAAGGGGATGGGGGACTAAGCATCTACGGTAGAATAAATTACAGCATATTTATATATCAGAATACAACACAATAATGAAAGAAATAAACTACAATTACATGCATGCATAAACATGGCTGAATCATAAAAAGGCTGAAAAGAAGCAAGTCATAAAAAATTACAGTCAGTACAATTCCATTTATATAAAGGTTAGAACGCCTGTAACAGATACACACATAACCCCGGTATCTGGCACATAATAGGTGCTCATCAATATCTGTTGAATGACTGAAAGTAAAGGAACAGCTAACACATGTTCAGGACAGTAGTAACCTCTGAGAGAAGTGGTGAAGATGTTATTAGGAAAAGGCACAAAGGAAACTTAAAATGTACAGAAAGTCTACAAAAACGATGTGATTATGTCTACTTCCCAATAATCTCACCAACAGTTATTTAATAAAATTTTTGGAATTCTTCCAAACTGATAGATGGAAACTGAGTACTGTTTCAATTTGCATTATTATTATGCATAAGGTTATCAACTGTCTATATTTTTATAGCTATTTGTGTATCCTCTTATATGAACTATTAATATGCTATGTAATAGATTGTTCTCTTACTGATTTCCAGAAGCTCTTCGTTAATTAACACAGAAATAAGTACTTTGACTCTTTATGAATGACAATTAGATTTTCAAAGTGCATTTTAAAAAAAGGTACTGAGAAGGTCAGGTAATGAGTGTACAGTCATTCATCTTATTATTTCCTTTAAAATACATGTGGTTATTCTTTTATATATTTCATGAATAAAAAAATTTACAAGTAAAAGAATCTTCTATTCTTTTGGGCCACAGCCCATTTTATTTTAAAGGAGATAAGTAATTCTTAGAAGAATCTTGGAATTTTTCACAATTATTGAAGTTCTAAATTTTTTATGAACTGGGACATAGATGCCCGTGGACAACTCTTTCAACCATATGTCAGAAAAAGTACTGCTTAACCCATTAGGACATAAATTCTAAATTATTTAAAATAACTGTGTGAGAACTGCTCTTACACCTTTTGTCCATAAAATTAATACACTTCAGATTTTTCTGTTAAGAGACTTAAGAGAACACTTCCAATTGCCTGGAATAGCCATGTGTGTAGTTTTTATATTGGCCTTTTTATCCTAACTCTTCAAATACCTACCCTTCACACATATTCGTTAAATCTCAAAATAAAATTTCTAAAAATTATCTTGTTGAGCTCAAATAATCAAAGTCATTATCAAAATTTCAGTATCTGTGTTTCAGAGGTAGCCAAGAAAATAGCAAAAAGCACTCCTTTTTTCAATTTTAAGACAAAAGGGAACTCAGAGGCAGATCATTCTCATTGTTTCTTTTATATATATATATATCACAGTGCTAATTTAAATGCTTCATTCCACTCCCTCCCCTGTTTTGTATACAAAGTACCACTATGTGGCTATTAAACCTGATTAAGAAATTATTTCAAGTTTTACCTTCCTAAGAATATAAAGCTACCATTCAAAGAGGGGCATTTTATTCCTTCAACTGCTTTATAAAACCAATCCTGCTTTTTATCCTCCTTAACTTTTGAAAGAAGGCAGAAAAGGCTCTGATTATCTTTCATTTCTAAAAGGTCCTTACTCTTCCATACTGGATCATCTGAACAGAAAGTGGCAATGCCAGATAAACAGACTCTCACAGAAGAGAAAAGGGCTATATATAGGTATTTACCATAAAACAAACTAAAATTTAATGAAAAAGAATTTATCTATAGGCATTAACAAAGTGGAGGTACGGTTGGCGAAGCAGAGCTGATGCCTCATCTGAAAGACTACAGGTCTAAGAAGAGATTTTCACAACTGTACATCAGTAGACAAAAGGGCACTAGGATCAAAGACTAGATAAAGACAGTACAATGGTCTCCCCCTATTACAGCTTCAGTGACGTGCTGGTGAACTGAGGTCCAAAAATATGACATGGAAAATTCTAGAAATAAACAGTTAATAAGTTTTACATTGCACACCATCTAAGCAGCAGGATGATATCTTGTGCTATCCCATCCTGATCATGAATCATCATTTGTCTCATGTATCCATGGTGCATCTGCTACCTGCCTGTTAGCAGCTGTCTGTTATCACATCACCTGTTGAGGTATCACAGTGCTTGTGTTCAAGTGCCACTTATTTTACTTAAAAATGGCCCCAATGTACAATGCTCCTTGCAATTCAGATGTGCCCAAGAGAAGCCATAATGTGCTTCCATTAAGTGACAAGGTGAGTATAGCACAATAAAATATTTTGAGAGAGACTATATTCATATAGCTTTTATTGCAGTGTTTTTATAGTTGTTCTATTTTATTATTAGTTGCTAATCTCTTACTGTGCCTAATTTGTAAATTAAACTTCATCACAGGAATGTATGTATAGGAAAAAATAGTATACATAGGGGTTGGTTATTATCATTGGTTTCAGGCATCCAAAGGCTACCGTAGTTTAGAAGACTAACATTTTGACCAGTAAAACAGAATGAAGGAATAAGAAGATAATAGATATTCAGAATGATTCATTCAGTTGATAATATAAATTTTCTGGGAGCATGTCTATATATATGAGATAGAATGGAACAGAATTATGAAACAGTAATATAATACGTGCTTTTTCAAGAATGGTAAGCGCAGTACAAAAGGTCAGTCCACTGGATTCAATAGTAAATTATTCATTTATCACTGATGTGGTCTCTATCAATATTACAAGGGAGACAATGGCTATTCTGATTGATGTTAAAAGGGTTATTTTTAGAGACAAAAATAATTAATTATAATCAGTAAAAAAGTGTGACTTTTATACTTCATAAATCTAAGATTATAAAAAAATGACAACCATTTCATAATTATTTTTAGAAAGGAACAGACCTATTTCCACTTCAACTCTAGCTGGATGACTGTTTCAACCATATTTATAAAAATAAGATATAAAGTATACGGAATTAGGTAAACTATCCCAACAGTTAAATTTCACATGCCTTGGGTTAATTCTCAAGAAAATATTTTTCCACTTCACATATAACTTAAAAAAATCCAAAATATTCTACAGAGAAACCAAGAAAATAAGACTTAACCACTCTTATAATTATCTAATTTACAAAGGGTTAACTGTATAAGGAAGCTTAATAACATTTCTGTCATTTCAACCAACAATGTCAGCGTTCTTTCCATTCTTACTCGAGCTTAATTTTTAATGCTCCATTATATGAATAAGCAACTGCAAACAAAACATGTTAATGGGCACTCAAATAATCTTTGAAGGAGGAAAACAAAATACATGAAAGTGTATACTTTATATGGCTTTGATTAATGTTCATTCCTCACGTGCACAGAATGAAATATTTAACTAATACCGCTTTCACTGGGGAAGGAGAGGGGGAGACTGGGAGAAAGAAGGTGAAGAGATTAGCCAAAGAGCATTTGTGCATGACCCAGGGACATGGACTACGGTATGGTGATTGCCTGATGAAGGTGGGTGTCTGGGTAGATGTGGGCAAAGGGAAAAAAGTATGGACAACTATAATAAACAATATAATTAAAAAAAAAAGAAAAAATGTCTAAGCAATACAGTATATCTGTACTTATCCTTTGAATTTATAGTAAACCCTTTTATGCCATAAGAGAAGATTATACAAATTTCAGTATTTATGTCACTATAAAATGAGTATGACTTTCATCCCAAACTAATTGACATAAGATTATCAGAGGTGCGTGTTGGATTAAAACATTTTGTTTAGAATAATTATACTTACTAGGTATAGTTCATTTTTACTGTTATAATGTTTTTCCTCATACAATCACGTATTTAATTTACAATTAAATGCAAATTGCAATGCAGTTTTACCTACTCTATCAGGACCTGGCATGAGCTATTCCAGCTAAAGTTAAAGTTTACTTTATTATGTCATTCTTTAAAAAAAAAAAAAAATAGGCCCTGGCTGGCATAGCTCAGTGGATTGAGCACGGGCTGCAAACCAAAGTGTCGCAGGTTCGATTCCCAGCCAGGGTACATGCCTGGGTTGCAGGCCATAACCCCCAGCAACCGCACACTGATGTTTCTCTCTCTCTCCCTATCTCCCTCCCTTCCCTCTCTAAAATAAATAAAATCTTAAAAAAAAATAAAGACACCAGAAAAACTAGTATTAATTTGAAATACCTCTTCTAAGACATTTTAGGGTTAAAGAAAGTTAAAGGTAAAATATAAAAAAAAAATTTCCCCATAAAAAGTTGTTAAAATGATGGCAGCATGTTGAAATTCTAAAGTTCAATTTAATACCAAGGAATCACTTTTCTTTCAAGAAAAAGTACTGAAACCTGACCTATATTGTAACTTAGTCTTTAAAAGACTCAAAATATCTCAATACTGAGTGTTAATGCTACATTTTTTAAAAGTTACTCACCTTTCAAACCTAGAGTTTGTAGCTGGAAGAGCCGACCAAGTTCATAAGGCAAAACCCGTAACAGATTGTTATTTAAAAGCAATTCCCTGTTTAAAAAAAAAATTGCTTTAGTTGAATTTGTCAAGCTTTATTAATATCTACAATTATTTTCTTAATCTTCTCTCCAATATACCTTGAGTGATGTATACATTCAAAGCATATTTCTATATGCTTATCTAAAACTGTTATGTAATACTAAAGTGCTACAAAATGTGTAGCTGCCACAACTGTTAACCATGTTTCTATAATTGACTCTCATTACCTAGCACAGGTTAACAACAGTGTAGGAATTGTATATCATTTTCAGGGTAAATCTATCCTTTCTCTCTTATCCAAATGCCTATCATATCAGATTGACAGATATTCTCATGGTCCAAAACAACAGATATCCTTGAACCTAGTCTAATTTATAGAAAAAAGTAAGTTTTTTAAAGTTCAGAATTTAACTATAATTATTAGCCAATCACCTGTATCAATTTTTATAACTGATTACAAATATATTACATCAAGATTCTATGATGAACAATCACTGACATAGAACATAAACACAAAAAATAAAACATAAGGTAGTATGACCCTGGCTGGTATAGCTCAGTTGGTTGGAGCATCGTCCCATAGACTGAAAGGTTGCAGGTTTGATTCCCCATCAGAGCACATACCCAGGTTGCAGGTTTGTTCCCCAGTCGGGATGTGTACAAGAAGGCAACTAATCAGTGTTTCTCTCCCTCTTCCCGCCCCCACCCCTTCCTCTCTCTCTAAAAACAACGAAAAAAAATGTCCTCAGGTGAGAATTAAAAAAAAACAAACAATAACAACAACATAAGGTAGGACAAATAATAAGATAGCATAGATAAGGTCTCAGTTTATGATTATAAAATTTTGTTCAGACTGTAGAAAAAATACACAGCTCTCTTATTAGGTGATTAAAAAGTGTCTTAAAACACAGAAAACCAACAAAAACATACAGTAAGGGGATGATGAGAAACACAATTTTAAAACAATATGTTTAATTTTAACATAGGGCAAAATTTTTTCAAAGAATTACTCAGCATATAAACAATACAGAAAAGTAATCCTTGTTTGTATTGGGAATGTTTATAAAAGGTCTTAATATTGCCACAAAAATTTCTCCTATACATTCTTAAAGAACCCTGAAGAACTAGAAATAAACCTATTTATCAGGTTTTAAGATTTCCTTAATAAGTTATATATAAGTATTATATCAAACAGAGATACGTTCCTAAAAGTCTTACCAAGAAGCGCGATATATTTTCCCAATTACTGCTGGTTAGTCTTATGATCATATAGTTGAGACTAAAGTCAGTATTTTACAACAGTTCCACCCCACCTCAAGTCTGTCAAAAGACCTTGGTAATACAAGCACATTTTTACCTCAAACCTCCAAGTTTAAAAGAAGAAAAAGAAATGTCAAGAAAGGCCAACTCAAGCACTGTGCCTGGGCAACTGTTATCACTTGATCTTGGAAACACATATGGAAACCCTACTGCAAGATGAGTAACATCCTATAATTTTTTTATTTGGTAAATTTAAAATTTCATATGGTGAGTCATATCTGTAATACTTCCTCACCTGAGAGACACCATGTTTCCTAGTTCTGCTGGTAAACTTCTGAGTTTATTGGATGACAGATCCAGGTAAACCAGATTATGAAGCTTGGCAATATCAGGTGGAATGCGACTAAGGTAATTGTCATTTAGGTGCAGCGCTGTCAAGTGTGTCAATGACCAAAGTGAAGTACTTAAGCTCCGCACTCTACCTAAAAGGCAAAATATTGAAGCATTAAACTCTCAGCCCAAGACAAAGACTGAAGTACAAGAACTAAAAAGTGGTAGAAGAGTCTGCAAATACATATAGATTATTGTATCTTTGACATTTAATTTTATATTTAATACAATTTGACTGCTTCCATCACACCTGGCCCTTCTGCAATTTCAGGCCACTTTCACCTGACAACCATTCTTTCTCATGGACCCTTCGAGTATTGAATGAGATGTGGCATAATGAAAAGAATTAAGGTTATCACATGGTCTCAAGGAAAAAGCATGGGCTGAATTGAGCTTTTGTGGTAAGACATCATGAATTTACTTTGAGTCATAGTCCTAACAAAAGTATTTCTCATATACTCCATAAAAATTAACTGCAAGATTTATCCATGCCTAGATTAGTTTGCAAACTTAAACAGGCAAGAGTAATTACTACAATATGGAACCAACCTTACATGAGCCAGAAGGAAAACCATTTTACCCCTAAAAGAGACTTCTTCCCCAGCTTTCTGATGTTACAATTATACATTAACTCTGGTTTAATACTGTATAGTAAGCAAACATACTAAAAGAAATAGTCACACATTAAGTTTTACAAATCAGCATCTTATAGCTATAGAGGAACACATACTAGAAAGTCATAAGACACAGTTCAGAGTCCTGATTTTTACCATTTATTAGCTATATAAGCCTGGGCAAATCACTTAGCCTCAGCTTCCATAAAATGTGATTATTTATTATCTAAACAACTTGCATAGAGATTATTTTATAAACTTTATTTTTTCATTTTTCTCTTTTAAATTTTTTAAATTGTTGATTATAAATAAAAACATAATAAAAATAAAATAAAAAATAAAAAGACAGACATCTTACTAAAGACTACATCATGAGATTACTTTAAATGTTTACTGCAATTTCTGGACTCTTAAAAAATTTGAATTCAAGTCCCAGTTTTGCCGTATACTACTTGACTGAGAGTGTGTGAGTCACTTAAACACTCTGCCTTATGGTTTCCTCACTTGTATATATCAATGAAAATTATTATTAAACCTATATCCATTGGATTCTTTCAAAAAATATTCAGCTCTGTCTGATGTGGCTCAGTGGACTGAGTACCAGCCTGCAAACCAAAGGGCTGCCAGTTTGATTCCCAGTCAGGGCACATGCTTGGGTTGCGGGCCAGGCCCCCAATAGGGAGTGTGTGAGAGGCAACCACACATGGATGTTTCTCTCCCTCTCTTGCTCCTTCCCTTCCTCTCTCTAAAAGTAAATAAAATCTTAAAACAATAAATTATAAAAAAAGAAATTATCTTAAAAAAAAAAAGAAATAGTGAAATGCAAGTAAAATGATTAACCCACCAAAAAAGACTATTTTATAAACTTTACAACAGTAAAGTGATATTTTAATTATATATTATTTCAAACAATTGATTCTAATTTAAAAAGCAGTAGGAGGTAGAGAGGGCAAAAAATCTCAAAAGGGAAGTGTTACTTTTCAGGTAGCAATAAACTCAAACTTAGATCTTCTGTCCAGGGTTCTTTCTACCACAGACCCCTTCATGCTATCTACAATATAATCAGGCTTCAAATGACAGCTAGGATTTTGCATTTTAATAGGAAAACAAAAATTTTAAGAGAAACTTATTTCAGTTTTACCCAGGGTTTAATTGAGTGGTTCTCAGCCGGGGGCAATTTCGATCCCCAAGGGACTCTGGCAATCTGGAGACAGTTTTGGTTGTCAAACTAGAGGTGTGCTACTGGCATCTAGCGGGTAGAGGCCAGAAATGCTGCTAAACATCCTATAGTACACAACAGCCCACAGCCACAAAAGATTGTCTGGCCCTAAGTTTCAGCAGTACCAACTTGAGAAACCCTAGGCTAACCTAATATTTATATTCATTCTTTTGATTGTCCATCACCTACTCACCCAGTTACCTTTTTAGCTAAATGTACGGGTAATTCTTGCTATTGACAATACAGTGTGGGTTTAACACTCCAAATGAAAGCCTCCTGGGGAAAAAACTACATTCTATATATACAATCTGTATTGTATCAACCACAAAAGAAAAACAGCACTCATATTCTATTTTTAATAAACTTTTAACTTTGTAATAATTTTAGATATATAGAAAAGTTACTAAGATAATACAGAGTTCCTGTATACTCCTTATCCAATTTCCCCTAATATTAACATCTTATCTCACCATGGTACATTTGTCAAAACTAGAACTAACATTGCTAAATTACTGCTAACTAATTTAAGTTGTATTTCACCCATTTTTACAATTTTGTGTTCCAGGATTCAATTTTGCATTTAGTCATTCTGTCTCCTTAGTCTCTTCTTGTCTATGACACTTTTTCATCCTTTCCTTGTTTTTCTGACATTGACAATTTTGAGGACTACTAATTAAGTATTTTGTAGAATGTCCTTCAGTTGAGTTTGTTTCTCACTATTAGACTGGATTTATGAGTTTTTAGAAATCATATTCAATTTTACCAAATCCTAAATATGTAAGATCATATAACAGTTGTCACATTTGTTGAAATAAACAGCCCCTAGCTTTCCTACTCTACCAACATTGTGATGATAGGAGGATGACAAAGGTTTCAACTTACAAAAGTAATAACTCTGCAAAAGCCAAAGCAAAATCTATTATGTCAAAAAAATCTGATTTTAGCTCTGACTGATGCAGCTCGGTTGGGTATCATCCTGCAAAGCAAAAGGCTGCTGGTTTGATTCCCAGTCAGGGCACATGCCTGGGTTGCGGACCAAGTCCCCAGTCAGGGAGTGTGTGCAAGAGGTCACCAATTAAATTGATGTTTCTCTCTCATATCTCTCTCACATCAGTGTTTCTCTCCCTCTCTTTCTCCTTCCCTTCCTCTCTAAGAATAAACAAATAAAAACCTAAAAAATTTTTGAAAACAAACAAACAAACAAACCTGATTTTACTTAGAAAATGGACCCCAATGTCTTCAATTCCAGATGCCAACTCTGGCTCCAAGTATTGTATGGACAAATATACTTAGTTATAGGTAAAATAGGTAAACATTAGTATCTCAGTATATTTTCTTGATTGTTTCATCTAATTAAAAATGTACAACAAAACAAAAAATATAACAATACAACTCTCATTCATTATATCCTGACTTAATTTTTCAGATTCTACTCACCCGAGATTTCTAATTCTGCCCAGTGAGATTTTTTCCCATTGGCTACCTCCTCTGCTGACATGATGGTATAAATTTTGCGAGGATCTGGAGGATCATATTTTTCCTTTGGCATCCCTATTAGTCTGTAAGAAAAAAAAATCATTAGAGTCTTATAAGAAAAAGAGGGGAAAATGGGATAGTAAGTTTTCTTTTTTTGTCTCCCCCTTGCCAGGCTACTAAGTGATTTTATACCACAAATTCTCACTAGAAGAAAAATACATCTGCAGTATGCTATGTTCTTGCAGGAACTCAATAAAAGATTCACAGTGGAAAATTCAAACAAGAAATGACACTGGACTTCACAGTGAACATTGTGGTTGCTTCCAAACATTCATTCCACCCATTACCTGTCATTTAGCTGCCCTGCTTTCCAAGACAGACTGACCCTACACCAGTTTTTTCATTGGGCTCTGACTAGTCTAGAAGAATCAGGATAATCCTATCCTTCTTGCCTCAGTGACATTCAGATATTCCATATCTAAAACAAACAGCACACGACATTCCCCCAGTCACATAAATTAATTCAGAAGTATCTAACAATCACCAGACTCGAAACTCTTCTGTTTATGGGAGAAGCAGGTCCCTTTCTCCTGCTGATCACAAATGATCAAATTGCTACTGGCAGCCATCCAACTGTAAGGGAAGCCAGCCATAGAAGTCAGAGTCTATAAAGTACAGGAAGAAAGCCAGATTCCTCAAGAATCCAGACCTGTAGTACTCCCAAACACTGCTTTGTTTTGTCTTTAGATATGCAAGGCAATACATTTTGCTTATTGTTTGAACTAGTTTGATCTGTGTTTTCTGTTATTTGCAATCAAAAGCTTACTAATTAGGATGATCATATAGCTTGACTTGCATGGGCCAGGCTTGGTTTATATCTGTTGTTCTTAGATAATTATTAATGCCAGTCCTTTTCACTCACAAAAGCGTCAGATTTGGAGGATGAGTTTACACGGCCACCCTCACTGAAACCAATATCATACAGTCTTTGTGTAATTAACAAAATAATCATTGAACAATCAAAAGTGATGACCAACTGGACATAAAACTCCTCTAGTGTGCATGTATGAAACAGATGACAAATAACTCTTAAAGTAACCATTAAAGGGATCCAATACAAGAATTACCGCTTGGTAACTGGTAGAAAATAAAGCCCAATTCAGATCTAACAAGAATAGTAAATAACAAAGGCCTGAACCTAATTAAACTCCTGCATGCTATCAGTAAATTTCCTCATAGTATTTATAGTTGATTCTTTGCTCATAATTTAACATACACACACAACACATACATGCAAAAAAAATTGTCTAAATCTGGGAGTGATTCTAAGTAGAGTTCAGAAATTTACATCTTAATGGAAGAGTTACTTGCAGGCGATCTGAAATTTGTTATGCACAGAGAAAAGAAATTACAGGTATTCTATCATGTTTCAAGAAATCAAAGTCAGTTTATGAGTACAATTAAAGTTTCCCATACCGTAATTTTCCCTCTTACTTCCATAGTTAAAAACAGCCATTCTATCGCCCTTACTAAAAGCAGCAAAGAGAAAGTTTTCATTGATCTCTTATAGTAATTAACTTCCAAATTTCCAGGTTAAACCTTTCTGCTTTAATTTTATCATACAACTTGGGTGATAACAAGTCATATTTTATTCCCCATAACTGTCCCAGATCTTCAAACAGCACAAAGAATAAGATAATTTTCCACATGGGAAAAATTTATTTCTACCACATTCAAGCTATGTGAAATACCTCTGAAAATAAAATTTTTAGATAACAAGGTTTTCAGAATTTCTACTGTGCATGACAAAGCACATGTCTCTTCTGTGGGTACCTCTGCATACTAATAAAGAGTGTACAAAAACACATGATCAAAGCCATGATCAAAGCTAAATCAAACTGATCCAAATCCAAAGACATGCTATAAATCCATTACATGAATTTCTACAATGAGGACAAGTAAAAAACAAATACTACAAAATTTATAAAAATTTATGTTTCACTAATTTTAGATCCCTCTTATAAAGCATAATGCATAGGATTAGAGGTCTATTTAATTTGGCTGTTTTAATCATGGGCCCTCACTAGATGACATGTTTCTCAAGGGGACTGTGAGTTATTTCTGTGTGGATGCATATCCTTTTTATATCTCTATACAGTTCCTTCCACATAGTAGGCATTTAATATGTATTTATGGAATGATTATGTTTTATAATGCTAAAATATACCATCTTCCACCCACCCTTCCCATCCCACAGCTAATTAATAGTCAATGTTTTTCTAAAAATTGACCTCAAGAAATGGTAATAAATCCACCTGTTCAATTTCCCTAAGTTTTTGTTTTTTTTTGTTTTTGAACCAAAATGTCAATTTCCCTAAGTATTTTAAAAACTTCTTCAAGCAGCTTCTATATAAAACTATATTTTTAAAATATGTCACAAGTTTCAATCTTTGTAGGTCCATTAAAATTTACAAAATCTGTTTCTGCAAAAGAGATTCATAACATGTTTATCAGTTCCTAGAATACGTAAAAACCAAAGTAATATTAACATTGTCACATAAGAGGTCAGAGGTCTCTCTGGATTTGATTAGGAAGCCAATAAAAATACAAGTTACTTAATTCCTCAAAGTGAATCCAGATTTGGACTGTCTGATTGAAGCTAAAACATTTCTCACTTGAGTCAACTAAGTACTTTAGTAGAATCTATACTTCTAGCAATCACTACTGTCCCAAACACGCAGTTTTCAAAGTGCTAACAACTTGGAGAACTCAAATTTAGAAAATTGATATTATTGACTCCTTCTATTCAGTTTTATTTTTCTCTCTCGTTCCTCGGTATCAACCCCTTTGGAGGCATACTAAAAAACTTATTTTAAAATAATTAAAATATAAAATAATAAGCAAAGCTAATTTAAATCTCTAAATGTTACACTGATAATATGGTTTCTCATATATAGATCATGTGAAGACTTAAATACTGAGTGACAGATTCACTTTTTTATCCAAGAAATTGAAGTGTTTTATTTGGGAAGCATTAACAGTTACTTCCTTTCCTATCTTCTATTTCAAATTTATGAAATGGAAGAAGTTTTTTTTCTTTACCATTTAAAAAATGTTTATTTAATACTGGATAAAAATATACTGCCTTACCTTTGAAAATATAACTAAATAACTAGGAGGGCTTCAAAGCATCTCCTTCCTTCTTTGCTTTCCAGGATGAGAAATATTTTTTCTTTTTTACTATTGTTTTTTTATTTTTCAATTGCAGTTTACATTCAATATTATTTTGTATTAGTTTCAAATATACAGCATAGTGTTAAACAATCATATACTTTACAAAGTGGTACCCAATATTTCAAGTACCCACTTTCCACTGTACATAGTTATTATAATATTATTGACTATTATTCCTTATGCTGTACCTTACATCCCTGTGACTATTTCGTGACTACCAATTTATAGTTCTTAATCCTTTCACCTTTAACACCCAGCCCTGAATCCCCTCCCCTCTGGCAATTACCTGTCTGATCTTTGTATCTATGAGTCTGTTTCTATTTTGTTCATGTGTTTATTTGAATGAACAAATGAAAAACCTGAAAAAAGCAGGGTTTTGAATTAGTTTTTCTAAGTTTCTAATTTCTACATCCTACATTAGTTCCCAAAGGGTCCTTCCATTACATCAACCTAATTTATACTGGGGATCCTGATCACGTAACAAAATAAACTAAAAGCCTCTTTTCAACACAACCTTTTAAACTTCCCAGTCTTTGACCCCATTTCAACATTATAAAAAATACTCCACATAGCCCTCCAAATACTAACCACATAAGCTTCTTTGAATCTACTCTCCTTCACTCCTTGGACCTTAGCCCATCACTTACACAGGCCTCCTAGATTCTAGCACAAAATTCCTGAAAGTAAGCATCGGTCCTGAAAAAAACCTGATCATCTCCTACTTCTTAGTTCCTACACAAAGTATCCTGAAAATAAACAAGTTTTTTTGTTTGTTTGTTTATTTTCCATGGCTGAAGGAACCCTGGGAAAATTTAAGTTGGGAGTTTTCAAAACCAAACTAAAATAGAAGATAACTACATAACATGCTCTTTCAATGAATAGCATATTAAAAAATATATATGAAATATAGCCAAATATACTACTGTTAAAAAATCCCAAATCTCAGGTTTCATGTCTGGGGCTAGGAAAATAATGCACCATAACTACCTCTCTCCCCTACAAAAAATATAATAATAATCTGAGCCAAATCAGAACAATCTGCCAAAGGCTAAAACTATACTCTCAATATTGGTCATCTGAAGCAGTTTACTGAAAAAAAAAAAACCCAAAAAACAGCAGGATCTACAGTGCATATAGATAGAAGTCCTTACAATGTTAAACCACAGTTTCCCTCTCAGCACCCTATTTTCAGCACAATTCAAATTATTTCATTTTTAATTATTTTTATTAATTACAGTCCAGAATCAACATTATTTTGTTATTAGTTTCATGTTTATAGCACAGTGGTTAGACAATCATATACTTTACAAAGTGTAAATTTTTCTAGTACCCATCATACAAAGTTTTTACAATATGGACTATATTCCCTCTGCTGTACTTTACATCCGCATGACTATTTTGTAACTACTAAATTGTATTTTTTAATCCTGTCACCTATTTCACCCAGTCCTCCAGACCCCACCCCTCTGGCAACCATGTGTCTGTTCTCCATGTCTATGAATCTGTTTAATTGTTTGTTTATATTGTAATTTTTAAATTTCTTTATTTTTTATTGTTGTTCAAGCACAACTGTCTTCACTTTCCCCACCCCCACCCTCTCCTGACCTACCCACCCCCACCTCCCAGCTTCAATCCTACCCCCTTTTGGCATTGTCCATGGGTCTCTCATACATGTTCCTTGACAACCCTTCCCCTCTTTCCCCTGTCATCCCACTCCCCTCTCCCCTCTGGTTACTGTCAGTTTGTTCTTTATTTCAATGTCTCTGGTTATATTTCACTTGCTGGTTTGTTTTGTTGATTAGGTTCCACTAATAGGTAAGATCATATGATATTTGTTATTTAGATTTCA